GAGGCGCACATTCTCTTGACTGACATTCGATTATTGAATTTGCATTCGAAATATAAATTGTTGATGTTTATCATAGATACAAATGTAGGGACATTAGGTTTATTTGTGGTCAACCTCCTTGGTCCTCTAGATAGTTTATTGTCTGTTCAATGGAAGCAGGTCGTATTTGAAGGTAACAAACTCTATGCCTTCGAGGTGGTCCGTTAATAAGACCACCCCATCAGAAAACTTTATGAGTATATATAATTTCTGCAAATATTCCTCATAAGAATAAATTATTCCTTTTGAACAGCGCTATTATAATTTGATACTTTACCATTCTATTTAATTTTGAACTAGGAATTAGACAATTCAGTATTCTTTAATAACGATAATATGAAATACGACACCATTCACATTTAAAATTTTGTTACTAATGGTAAATAGAATTAAGAAATTTGGGGAATTTAACACTAAACGTATTATAAATGTAATAATAAAGTAATGCTAATTTAAAACACATTAAGCAGTTGTATTTGTTGGATATTTACCTACCTAATATAGTTGCAGGTTGGTTGCAGGTAACTGAACCAATAATAATTGGGTTTGTTTTTAATTGTTGAAATAAATGTCAGGTGACGCAATTTCTGGCAAGTGGCCAGTACGTATGTCCGTTACAATTTAAATTACAATGTTCATTGAGTCTGGTTGAAATGTCATAAATTGACAGATGACTTTTGACTTGTCAAACTGTCACGAGCTTTTATTTCTAATTAGGATTTTTTAAATTTATATGTACTCTTTTATTTTATAATTATAGTATGTATTGTCTAGTGATTTGTTCTATATTTCTCTAAAACGTCACTAACATAGTCGGCTAAGTCCCACTTTTGTTTAACTGACAGGCAAAAGGTGTATTTACTACGTTGCGTTACATAAGGGCTGCCAGTTACAGTAGCTATCTCATACATGTACCTACCCATTATAAAACAAACATGACTGTAAAAGTATTGAAAATAATACATTTAATTTACAATTTACAGCAATTGAAACTAACATCCTTTTTTAATGTCATCATCCATATTGCTCTCATACATGTAATACATTTAAATATTTCCTTACTATAAGATAACTCGCAACCATGCCATAAATATGACTAAGAACTCTTTTATCTCATAAAACCCCTCACTAAAAAGTTCTTAAGCCAAAAGACACCTATTCAAAGTAAGTGAGACACCCCTGTATAAATCTGTCCCGACTAGACTACTGTAATTGACATATTTATTACAGAATAAATAACTCTAGAGTCGCGTAAATTAGGATTCAGAGCTCTCTAATTTAGCATTTGTATTGCTCTAATGTTATCCGATTTCAGAGGAGAGTTTTATAAGGTGTTTTGTTACTCATTTCAGAGAATATCTCTGTGTGGTTCGGTGTAAAAACAGAATCGAAATATGTAATCCTAACAAAGTTTGGTGTCGGTTATTTTGTAACGGAATAGTTGAAATGTAAAGGTTTTATAAATAGATGCAGCAACAAGGATCTCTCAGTAGAACCATAAAAGAGGTCCTTTTAAAACACCGCCACAAATAAAACGTCTGTCGATACAGCCTTGCCAACACCCCAATAACCTACATAGTGGGTGTTGGAACACTGGCACAATAAAAAATAGTAAAAACCATAGATTTTATTTTATTACTCTGTTAGTGACAAACTAAGGAACATGTCAATAAGGACACTAAAATTTAATTTCATCATAATTCCCTTTACAAGGAATCGAATTTACGTATCTTCTTTGGCGATTGTTTCTAGTCCATAAAGATCGTACGCGATAACCCTATCTGTTAGTGTCGTGTCGCTTATTCACTATCGATAGTCGATCATCGGTATCGATAAATTCACGATCGTAAAATGTTTGACCCTCGAGGTTGGCACGATTTATCGATTAGAAAATGTATGTAAATATTATGAGTATCGATATTTACATGTTGCAGGGAATCATTGAATTAGAATAATCTTGTTAGTCTTGTTTGAAAGTGCGTAACTTAAGATTGAAATATTAAATTGCATGTGTGCATGCATGTATTATGCATGCTTTCTCATAAACTTGCCGGTAGGAACTTACTTTTATACAGTCAAGTTGAATAACTCACGAATCTTTTCATAAAGAGACAGCGAGTAAGTTATCAAAGTACAACTGGCTACTTTATGACAGTAACTGCAGTATATTTGCTTCTAATATGGGCATATTTTTGAGTCTCTTTCATACTGTAAAGTAATAAACCTCACCGTATTAATGGATACAAATTTATGCCTACATAACTGTCTTCTAGAAACTTATGCGACGCCGTAATTTCTCCAACAAAAGATTTAATTCTCGATTTAAATTAATCTTATCTAGAAAATTAACTTTATCGATATCCGAATTGCTTACGATCAATCTCTAGAGCCCTTATCGTTGCCTACCTCTCACAGGGTGCCCTCTGAACCAATTTCGTAAACGAATCCTATAACTATTATAGGAATGGGTCCCTGTATCGATAAGATAGTATATATTATGACGATTGCTTCATAGGTGCGATTTAAATCGATAACAACGTGTGCCACCTGCCTTAATTGAACTATTAGTAACGGGTTATATTATCTATGGTTGATAGAACTATAATTAGATAAAAACCGTTTATAGGCAAAGGACACCGGTGGTAGAGCCTCCTTGATTAAAATGCTAGGTACATTACACCTCATTTGTAAGACAATTAGATGTAAAGTTTATTGCTTGATAAATACTTTAGTGATATTTTTGTTCGGTTTTTTGTTACTTACAATGGAAGGAAGAACTAAGTACTTCGTATTTTTTTTTAATAAAAGAGACTTACCGATCATAGTTCAGACCTGTCTAAAAGTCCAAATAGTCAGAACCCTATAAAAAGTCCGTTACAATACCTACATTGCAAAAATCGCCACCCACAAGTTAGAATTAAGTAGCAAGATTCCATACCAAGATTCTAGGGACAAACAAATAAACAAAACGAAATATCCAGTAAACATTATGTAAATTGTAACCAATAAGTTGTAAAACAGATAATTAACAGACGTCATGTTGCTTTACAAATTCAATTATGTCTTTTACGATAACCGTTTAACAGTAAACACATATTATGATACAGAAGGGGATAGATATTAATAACATATAGTAGAGCTTTAGGGTAAATAGCTAGTAGCGACCTCTAGCGGTCCATTCTGAAGTTAAAATTGCAGAGCTGCCAACTTAAAGGCGCGACAATTTATGTTCCTGGCTGGTATTGGCGCGAAAATTTGGCGCCACGATTCGAACGTCGAATTGCGGTTTTATTTTGTTAAAATATTGGTTTTCTTGATAAATACTGTTGTCTCTTCGAGTATTTCTGGAGTAATATTGGTGAAAAGTAAATGAGCAACCATCATACCTATATCAATTTCTTTGAAACTGTCGTGTGTTATTTCACATTTGAAGTTTTACTTAGTCGCCCTGTATGCACATGAATTTGTCAAATATCCAATCGTTTATCGAAATAATGGGCGTGCGTCGCGTAAGTAACCACCACTCGATTTAATTACATAATAAACAAATGCGCAACATTACCACATTTTAATCTACAGCATGTTTAATTATAACAAACTTGGCTACACACCTTAAGGAACTCCAAACTCCATGGGTGGTACACAGCACTATTTATAAGCCACTCTTTTGAACCGATAGCCTTCCATTGCGCATTTAGTAAAGAAACACCGACCAATCACTAGTACTGCTGCCGCTTCCTACATCAGACTACTGTTGATTGTCGAGTACGCTAGTAAAATTTAATGTGCACCATTTGTTTAGTTAACCACACTGAGATTTATATGTGTGTATGAGTAGTTAGCTTTAGTACATAACTGTCTCTGTTGAAGTATTTAGAGCATGGGTAGCTAAACTACAGGAGTTTTGGTTCAGATACACGTGTCACCCAGTTTCTATGACAATAGGAACAGCTGCCTGTATAAACAACTAGGAAGCACTAATTTGAGTCTAGTTTATGTACTGCTGAGATGTAAAAGACTAACAGAGTGACCTAGTAACAATTGTATGTACCTAGTATTGTAGTCATATTGGGTGAATGATTGCAAAATACTGGATCTTAATTTTAACTCGTTGAATACCGTTATTATAGACACAATTAAAGAACAATAGGTTGCGGTCACCGGTGACCGCTCGGTGTTTGACAGTTAAAGACGACAAATTAATGAAATGACACATAACATCACGCCTTTTTATCCCTGAAGGGAGAGGCAGAGGTGCACATTACGGCGCTTAGTACTGTGAAATATAACAGCCACTTTTCACTATTTATGTTATGAGTCCCATGTAATAGCGGGGTGAGCCTATTGCCATATACCGATCACAATTCCAGATTCCGTGCTACTCTGAGATTTTTTTAAAAATTCCCGTAACTTTGCACGATTCGGTAACCGAACCCGAGACCCATTGCCCGGCAGTCGCACTTGCGCCAGCTCGGCCAATGAGGCAGTCAATGAAATGAAATAGATATTTTGATCTGATGGATAGAATATTTTAACACAAAAGATATGACACACTATCTCATTGCAGATTCAATGTTTCATTTAGGTTTGAACGCCCCAATCTTCCAAACGAAAGAAAAAAGAATAAAGAATAAAAGCAGACGAGCCAATAACACATCGTCACTTTTTACAGTTATGATTTTTTTCAATTTCTTCCTACCTTTCGAATACTGTAGACCAGAAGTTCCAGCAGACGAGAGAAACCGAAAGACAGGCTATAAAAGTACCTATAAAAGATAGAACCTATGCAACCGCAAGTACAGCAGAACTGGTACCGCCCAGGAAGCCAAAGGTTTCTCTACACGTCCAAAGAAAGGAAAGTTCGTAAAAAATGATTTATATGCACAGGAACAGTGTATAATTGAATACGCATATTCATAAACGATTCATTACCTGTGGGAGTGTCGACGTCAACTGTCAACATGTTAGAAGTTAGAAAAGTAAGGTTAACTGCTGGTTGGATTTATGAAAGTTAGAGTGAACTTGCGTCTTTATTTTCTGTATCCAAAAATCATTTTTTTTTTTAATAAAACTTTGCCCCACACTAGGATTTTCTCCTGTGTCGTGGGTGCGTTTACAAACAAGTTCACATACACATGACAACCAGACCCGAAACAACAATTTGTGGATCACACAAAGTGTTGTTCCGTGCGGGAATCGAACCCGCGACACGTTGCACCGCAGCCGGTTGCCCAGCCACCGCACTAACCGTGCAGTCAGTCAATAATATGTGTGGAAATTTTCAAAACATCATTCATTTTTTTCTCGTTTTAGTGGACGTAGCAATCAATTTTGGTTTCGTTTCTTCTTCTTCACAAAAGTACCAAGTATGATCCAATAGCAAATAGTACATGACTTAGGTAAAAATGTAGTTAAAACCTCCTTGTTATTCCAAACAAAACATAACTGCACGATTATAATTAAGTGTCTCGGAAGTAACATAAGTTAAATCTACTTTAGTCTAGTATAAGCCTCAAGCTAAACTCTGAATAGATAGTATACCTACAGTCCAAATGCGAGAATCAAATATAATATATATTTGCCAAGTACCCCTTAATCTAAAAATATTTGAGTCACAATTTGTAAACTTGTTCGTTGATGTCTACCACATAAAATACAAATCAACGGCACATCGAGATGTAAACGGCACTTACTAAAGAACTTCCAATAGGACAAATTGCTAACACCATAAATCTGTGGCGTAATAATTTTCACCCACCGGCCACCGCTGTAACCCGCAAACCATCGCAGATTGAATTTAATGTCCTCGATATTATGTGTCTTGGGACAATTTAAGAGGCATTAGCACACCCTACAGCAATTCTCTTATACATATTTATGAATAAAACAACCAATTTGTATTGCTCGTGCACCCGGCTCAGCAGCCATAACGGCACCACAACCGCGGGGAAATGCGGTTAGCCTAAAAGGACAGCCCCAATTTGTTGAAATTGTCAAACCATTCCTTGTACACCACTTTGTGCCGACCGCAGCACATAAAAGGGAGTTTATAGCGGATTTATAGAGTGATAAATTATGTTCTGATAGTATAATTGTAGAGTACGGCGAAAGATTATTAAATCATGAGACAATACAAATGAATACGACTCCGGTCCATGCCGCGGTCAGGGCAACAATGCAAACCCAAATAGCAAACAATACTGCCTATTCTGGAATACAAAACCAACATTGTCCAAATGTAGAACTGCCGTACTTTAGCAACAACTAATCGCATCTTTTTTCATTGTTTCAGAAGGATCTCTCGGACGATTGCGTGTTCGAGGAACATATAGAGGAGAACAACTACAACACATACTCGCGGAAACGCAACGGGAAGAAAACCTTCTTGGCGTTAGACAACAGGGGGAGAGCGCGACGGACGCAGATCCCCGTGAGTCGGCCGCTCGGCAACCTGTCCCCGTATGCGCTCTCATTGACGAGGCGGTGGGACGGACCCAAGCAGACGCACTGTCCGCCGCGGCGGCATCGAGGCAAGCTGAAGCGGCCTCCGCCGCGACATAGAAATTGTCATATACGCCTCCAGAAAGCAAATTTGAGGCATAAGAGGAAACACAAGAAGGCTAACAATCCCAAGAAAAAGCAGCGGCGTCCGAAGATGAGAAGAAAACATGAGAACGGGACGACGACCACGACCGAGGTGACGTGGGACGAGTCGACGATGTCGACCATGTCTACCACGGATGTCGAGTTTTTTCGGTCGGCGACCGCGCAGGAGGCGGTCGGACGCGCGTGAGTCGGGCGCTGGTCGCGGTCGGGGCAGCCGTCGCGCTCGCACACTAGCACCGTTCCACACTTACACGTGCAAGAATCTCTGTATCATTCCTATTTAGTGCCGTTCCCACTGATACACGGAACGGCTCGTGAAATATTTACGACAAAGTAGCATTGCTCTCTTTACGAATGGCGCTCCAATTTAACTATCGAGAAAGTTGAAACCCGTGACGCGTTCATAACGAATGGTTGTCGAAACTTGAACTTCGTTTTCCTTTATTAGTAGTAGTACGTACGAAACATAATACTCACTGTTGAGTTGGGCGGCGATGCCGTCAAAGTCGATACATGTTAACAATAAAATGAATGATATTATTCTACCAAAGCTACTGAAATTATCTATCTCAATTTATATTCCTAGTTCGCTTTAAAACGTAGGTTTATCGGCAAGATTCCAGTTGTTAGTTACTGTTACTTATCAAGAAATTAACGTAGATGATAAATTAACTTTATTCGATAATGACTAAACATTGATTGTTTATGACGTCGAGATTATCGTTGGGTAAGGTGGAACTGTGTTAGGAGAAGGCAAAGATTCCTGTCAATTAAAATTTAGCCTAAATACTTATCGTTTCGGAATCCCTCTCTCGAACGAGCATCACTTCATTCACGTCCTCAGAATCAATGTTCATTTCTAACGTCTCTTTAATAGCTGTATCTCTAAAAACATTAAGTAGCATTCGTGTAATATGTTTCTTTAATTAAGCTTAAGTTATTCGTTTAATGGAATTGATCGGAGCCCACTCGCTCCATTACATATAACGTTTTAGTGCTCGCATGTCTCAAATGCTCGTAATTTTCCACATTTAAATAATGGCCTAAAAGGTTAGGTATTCAAATTAAGAAATTAACGCTCTATTCCTTCTTTGCGACAATCGTAAACACGACATTTAACATAATTTAACATCTGAATTAAAACATCGTTCGCTGCCATCACTGCTTACCTCGAATGCTTCAAAAACACGAAGAGAAGAAATTCCGAAACGTTTTTGTACTTAGATACGTGTGTTGAGGTGTAATTTCATAAGAAATTGACTGAAAATTGGACTGAGTAATGTAGTTTATGTTGGTTTCGGCCTAGGCTATGATAGGATAACGTAGTGCGGCGGACGGCATGCTTCTTTATTTAATTGTAAGTTATATTCGAGCGTCGGAGGCGAGCGGCCGTGTATTAATGACTTCGAAACTATAATCGACATGGATAGAGTTCCCACGCGTGCCGGTGGCTTGGTGACACCGTGCCTAAGTCACACCCCGCTGTGAGGACTAAACCAGTTCGAACTGGTGAATACGAAAAACGCTATAAAATTATAATTGCGCAATGCGCGTCTCCAGTACAAGCCCGCTCGTTTCGACTCGTCCAAAAATGTAGTGATAAACATTAACGACGACGAAGTGACTATTAGTAAGTAGTTCTAAAACGTGTATCTAATTTGTAAATTTATTTATTTTCCATAGAGAAAGTCGTATTTTGTTAACGTTTTAGTTGATGTTTTTTATTCTCTCGTCCCCTTTAGTTCCAACCGAATGTAGATGTGTAGGATGTCATACGCTTGTACCTTTAGTGAGCCAATATTATTTGTATTATATTTTTAAGTCCGTTCGGTAACAATATGTGCTCTGTATGCAGTTGTGTATAGTGTGTGATGGAGGCATTTGCAAATATTGTGATTGAATGGATTTTACACGATTACATTCTCTTTAGTGATGTCCCTCGCAATCTGATTATGTGCGCAGATAATGTAGCAGGTGTATCTTGTACTTGGTCAACGAACATTTTTTTTGCTTGCAACTCCATGTTTTCCGTGTAGCCGTAAATCTGAGGTAAAAGGTTAATTTTGTTCATAAATTATGCAAAACAGGTGTCCCACTTTCAGTTTTAGTCCATAATTAGTGACTGTCTATTTTGAATTTCTCTTGAATTCCAAGTTACGATAAGGTCCATTGAACAGGTTGGTACATAGACCGGTACAATATTATACTTGAGAGAAAACATGGCGACAAGGATCTAAACTAATGTTCGTTGCCTAAGATATTCAGGAGTTTTTGTGAATATATGCAGCAAGCTTTATGAATGTACCTACGTATGTTATACGAATGATATTTTGAATTTATTTATATGTATGTATAATATTTAGGTATCACATGAAAGCGACATGGAATACGTACTTAACGAAGCATTTACTCATCATATAATTAAACATTTTTATATAAAATAATCACGATCGTACCGATTCCTTGTCGTTTTCATTTAAGTGAATAAATTATTCGATTCTCGGATTCGTTAAACTTGACTCGCTATTGTAAATGAATACCAATCGATCTTTATGTTAGTGTAGAAGCAGTATTTCGGTATTGTAAAAAATGTTCTCCGTTACAGTATCTAGTTTTTGTAGTTTTATATTGAATAGAGATTGTAAGAAACTTCAGCAGATGCCGATTGGTTATATTTTGTTCTCCTATACGTAATGTAACTGGCTTTGTAAAGAGGTGCCGTGTTTATCAAACTCATTCTCGCTGGTCGACAATAAATAAAAAGAAACATTGACAGTTTATTTTTTTATTCGATCGTAGGATAGCAGATAAGTGTCACAGTCATACCTGCGTACAGCCTAATAGCGTAATTAAAATAAAATTAAAACTTAAAAAAATAGAATATGCGAGAATCTATGAGTTTGCATAACAATGTGCCGAGATGGTGTAAAAATATGAGTGTTATGTTATTTTAATGCCCATGTGCCATAATACTGCCCTCTGGGTTAGCCTACCGATTCAATAAACACAGTTAATTTTTCAGTTTCTATACTCAAGTACATAATGTCAAATATTGTTAAGAAATAAGGGGTTTATCCACTTTACTGTCAACGATGAACGATATAATGAACTTGTAGATAAAATATAATAATATCTCTTTGTAATAGTGGTGTAAATACCCCTTGTTTCCTGAAAAATATATATAAGAATGTCAAGAGGAGTCAAACAGTATTACTTAATTAATTAATTTCGATACGTTTTTACAATAATTACATACTTTAAAATGAAATGTTCGTGTTTGCTTAGTGCATTTATGTATGTACATTTAAAAATTAATTCTGAATACCAACCTAATTTAAACATTAAAAAAAAGTTTTAAAAATTTGAATAATGAAGTAAAAAATATATTTAGATGTTTTTTTTTTCTAAAGTAGAATTTTAAAATTTTACCTATTTACCTACGTAGTACTACTACCAAAAGAAAGATTGATCGAAACTTCTAGACAATAACTTTTTACAGCCTCTTATACCGACAAATAAATAAAAATGATTCTATAATCTCTGAGTTTTCTTTTTTTTGTCGTCACCATCACCCAAGTCGCCTAGCAAATGTCAAACGAACTGACAATGCTCTTCTTGAACAGCGTTGTTGAGAGAATAAGGGTTCGATCCCCAAGACACAAATCGTTGCGAATAGTGCAAATCCGCGGAACTAGCATTGGATAATTCCGCATATCTGACATAATATTATAACATAACATTGTCCTTTGTTTTGCTAAATAAATTATTCTTATTCTTATACTTACAGAACATCACGCCTTATATTGCAAATTGGTAGGTAGAGGTGCACATTACGCCACTTAATGCTACTGTACAATGTTACATTCACTTTTCACTATTTATGTTATGAGTCGCATGTTAAGGAGTGAGCCTATGGCCTTATTATACCGGGCACAATTCCAGATTCCGTGCTACTACTAAGATTTTTTTAAAGTTAGTTGAGGCCATTGTACCTATTTATGTAATGTAGCTAATTCAAGTTTTCGCAGAATACTTCCACAAAATCTTAATTGGCTTCCACCGTCTTGATATGAGTTTATTTCGACTCATTTTTATAGGTAATGTTGCAAGAAACTTTAGAACCTCTCTGTGGTTCGAAACTAGTAGGTAGAACTTTCTCAATATATTCACGTGAGTAACTGCCTCTTTTGCCGATTTGGGTTCGATTCCCGGGTCGGGTAAAGTATTACTGGGTTTTTAAATATTCTCAGTAGTAGCACGGAGTCTGGAATTGTACCTGGTATCCATATACCAGGTACAATTCCAGACTCCAGGCAGAGGTGCACATTATACCACTGTACAATGTAACACCCACTTTTCACGACTTATGTTATGAGTCCTATGTAATACGGGGTATACCTATTGCCATATACCGGACACAGTTCCAGATTACGTGCTACTACTGAGAATTTTTTAAAACCCAGTTATACTTTGCCCGACCCGGGAATCGAACCCGAGACCCCTTGCCCGGCGGCAGTCGCACTTGCGACCACTCGGCCAACAAGGCATTCATTCAGTTTTGATATTTTCAGTATAAGCACTGAATTAGGTACGACTTTGTCAGTATGAGTGGTAGTGGGGTTTTATGTTATCCTATATCGTACACCACACAAGTTTACTTAGCATAATCCCGTGACAGCTACAAATCTCCTAGATCTTTTTTATGGTACAACTCGGTAAACGAGCAGACGGATCAGCTGATGGTAAGCAATCGGCGCTGCCCTGGAACACAAGAGGCGTTACAAGTGCGTTATAGGCCTTTTGGGAATTGGGAATTTAAGGATTGTGGGGGATTTAGGGTTCGGGGAGACTAAAGAGGGGGGAGGGGGCAATTGGGCTTCCGTTAACCTCACTCACACGACGAAATACAACGCAATTTGTTTCACGTCGATTTTCTGTGGGGCCGTGGTATCACTCCGGTCGAGCCGGCCCATTCGTGCCGAAGCATGGCTCTCCCACACTTAAAATGAACATTATCTATACATTTATTATTTAAGTAATGTCAAAATATGATTGAATAATAGATAGGATCCTGTCTGCCTTTATCCCAAAAGAAGTAAAAGGCTTAATGCTATATCTTTTATTTTCGAATAATAATTTGGTATAATAATTATGTATAGTAGGTCCGCCTCCATTGTGCAGAATAAT